AAGAGTTGCAATAAATGTGGAAATTGTTGACCAGCCATGGTTAATAACAGCTGCCTGCAAATTTCCAGGTCACAAAAATCTACAGGAATAGTGTATTAAACTTAAACTAAATAAACATGCAATATTCTATTAGGTGATATTATCACCGCAAATACAATTTGGGATGATTTTCAAATAACCGTGATAGTAGAATACGAGAGCAAATATTAACACTAAACACACTCAGGATAATATCTCCTCTAAACTTAATATACTGTCCATGAAATCGTTTAAGAAATCCAGGAATACCAGACATAAAAATCCACCTTATCTCAATTCCAACCAGATGACTTGCCTACTCTCTTCATCTCCAAAACCAAAATCAAAGGCACTAAAAATTAAGGGGAATAAAATAAAATCAATCATATCCAACCACGTACCAAAAATAAAAATACTGCCTAACCTATTGAAGATAGATCAGGCAATAATGGATAATGACCATTGGCAAATCACAAAAACATTGGCAATAACATTTATATCTTCAAAGAATAAGTTAATTAACAAGTAACCGAATTCATTATCAAATTAATAAATACTAAAAATACAATGAGAAGATTTTTTACCCCACCGAAGAACAACTGAACTGATACATGAATCAAATGTAATAACTTGTATAACTAGAAAATAACAAAAATCTACAAAGAACAACAGTGTCAACTATATTCAAAGATTAAGCACTAACAACAAATTTGTATGGCTTTTCACGAGAAAAATACTTAAGCAAAAAACCATAATTGGGACATTAGATACAAATGCAGACAAAGTACTTTAACCAGAAAAGAACGTAGAAAACTAGCCAAATTTTTCGGTACGTCTTTCACAACAAAATTCAACAAAACCGTCACACCCAACAATAAGTAAATCAAACAATAAACCAACGTGTGGCTTCCCATTTCACTGTAAGCTCTCGAACAGTGAAGATATCGTACAGACAGCTCTTCAGTTTATGACCGGAAAAATCACAAGATGGAAGCCGTACTTGAAAAAATTGATAAAAGAGGTAAGAAACGATTTTTCATAGCAGGACGAACGCTAGAGAGAATATGAGGGTAACCCGGAGGTTGTGTGTGGGAGGTAGGATGGAGGTAGGATGGAGGTGGGAGGTAGAGGCGAGGGTTGCTCGACTCTAAAGGCACGTCTATTATGTAGAGAATCGGTCCGTTCGCAACAATCTCGTGTTTCACGGGGTAGCAGAAAGTAAAGGGGAAACGTGGGAGGCGGTGGAAGCCAAGCTAAGACAGACATTGCTTAAGAAGCTAGGGATGACGTTATGACAGAAATATATAGTGCGATTTCGTAGAAATGGCAACAGATGGGGAAAGAGGTCTATCGTAGCGGCGGTAGTGGTGTAACGGTTAGAGTATCGGACTGTTAAACCCAATTGGCAATATTCAAACCCGATGGAAGCCGTTGATTTTTAAGGACGAAAAAATCCTTCGTACGCTTTTCTTCGGGGGGGGGAGTAAAGCCGGCTGTTCCATGTTAGTAGATTTACTTGCATGTAAAAAATCCCCAAGTCTAAATGAATGCTCTGAGCTAAATTGAAATCGCCCAAGAAATACCTCGTTTCTCTGCTAGTTGGTGAAAGGAGCGTAACAAAATTTGCATGGTCAGACGGAAGAGCGGGTCTGATGGCCCGAGTCTGACCCCGAAAAATAAGGCTTCAATTCAATTCGCAGCCAAACTCACATTCTGCAAAGATATTCTTAGGGAAAGGAGGCGTCACTTGTAGACCACTACAAAACGCTAAATAAATGGTTGGAGTACACGCATTAGAAACTATTTTCATCAGTATCAAGCAATTATTAATAGTACTTCTTGTTGCTGTGACAGCAAATCTTCAATTAATCACTATGCAAATAAACCTAGTAATTCTGCGCAAACCGCGGTACACACAAAATCATAAATAGTATAAGATGGAAAAATCTAAGCCTTCTAAGCGTAACGTCACAACGATTGCAACCATCACCAAGGGTTGAAATGTAGGTGGCATTGGTAGTACCGATAAGTGCCTAACCACCAAAAAATTTATAGAATATCCAAGAATACCTCACCCTGTAGATTACCGTAGAAGGAACGTTTCTTTAAGACCTTTGGCGTCAAAATTGCAGTTTTTAAAGCCTAAACACTTTGTTAATGAATTATTTACCGATATAGCTGACTGAGTGTTGCGGGTTGAATTTTATATGAATATTTAAATGTTTTTTTAACAAATACTTCATAGTTTTCAAGCCAAAGTGCAATTCGCCACGTCTCCGTAAAATTCTCGTTCTTTAGAGACCTCATTTACAAAGATTGGTTGCGTGTGAGCGCCGCAGAAGGTATGTATACTACTGAAATAATATAGATGATACTGTCACTGCTCGGTGAAAGTCTTGGCAACGCCAGCGAAGCTAGCCGTGTTTATCGAGAACGATTCCCCGATCGTCGCATGTCTTGTGCGCAGTCAACTAGAAGCGTTGCGCAACCATCTGCACATCCAGGCCACTCGCGCGACGTCCTCGGCGAGCAGGTCGTGCTAGAGCCAGTTCGATTCGGTCGATGCTACTGCCAGTACACAGCTCGTTGGGCGTCTCACAAGGATGCATCATCACATCTTATGAAATGTTTTAAAATAATAAGGGCATAAACGGTAAGATTTTCAAAGGATGCACCACTTCTGTGAAGTAACGTAAACCATCTCCAGTGGCATTCTATTAGAGGCTTCTTAAACAGTACGCAGGTAATGCATCTTTTGTGGAGTATACTATTCTTAGTGACAAACCACAGCTATCAAGCAACTAATTAGAATTTGTCTTATAATCAGTATTTTAATTTTTAACATTTATTGTTATAACTCTCTGTGAAAGCATATTGTTCATAAGTTTCTATGAGCGAATATATAAGTTTCATAAAATAGTATAATTAAAAGTTTAGCTTTAAATATCTTAATTAATCAATATTATATTATAATTAATACTTTTTTATAATTTTAGAACTTAATACACGTCCAAAATAATGTGTTCCGCTTCTCTAAGACGAGAGTAATGCTGCCATAGATTTCAACAAATTCAGCTGCAGAGAACAACCTATGTATGGCAAGAGTTCGAAAAATATCTGACCACGCGTAGGTCCCAGTTCAGTTACATTGTTTTAGGACGCGACGACCTCCTTGGTAGGTTTCCCTGAAAATGCTGCTATTCCTCCAGGACTGAGGGCGGGGGTAGGTACACGATGAGGCCGCTTTTTCTGCTGCTCGGCTTAATTGTTTTCATTGATTAGCGACTCCTGGCACGACAACTGCTAAGGTCATTAGCCCAGAAACGGTAATGCTTTATTTGCTCGGGAGGGGGCGGTGATCTTCCCACGCTGGATGGTGAGATCTGGCACCGAACAACCCGCCCGCTAGCGGCCTACTCCCCAACCAGGTATCTCCCACTAGCGGGGCACTGCCCAGGCTCGGGCAATTTCTCAGCTCCTGACTGGTCTCTCCGCATGTGTGGTAGTGTAGTGCATGTTATTGTGTGTGTACGGTATTACAAAGAAGAGGAAGGAAACAGTGGGCCGTTTGTTAGGGTCCTGCTCCGGCATCCGCCTGATGCCTGCTCGGGATGCACGTCAGGGAGCCGAATAGAGCGTTGCAGAATGCCGGTGACGCAAATTAAATTCCCGATCTTCTCTGATTGGAAAGGCTTGGCTCCGCATGCAGAGTCAGTGGGTTCGTAGTTGTCTGCGAGTGGCCATGCGAAGGTTCCATGCGAAGGTTTCGGTCGCCATAAGGTGACGTCCTTTAGGGTCAACTGATTCAAAACCTACGCTCACTTACAAAGTGTATTGTGAGCAAAAATTTTGCAACATCAAGAACATAGCGTGTACTACACAGCCAAATCCTATATTGATTGTAAAATTCGATGACTCAATTTTAGAAACAATTAAAGGGCGAAAAAGTCATTCGTACGCTTTCCAGCGGACGATAAGTAAAGCCCGCTGTCCTATGCTAGTAGATTTACTGCGTGTAAAATATTCAAAAGCCTAAATGAAGCATGTGAGCTAAATTGAAATCGCATGTTTCGTCGCCCAAGAAATACCTCCTTTCTCCGCTAGTGGGTAAAAGGATCGTAGTAAAATTTGAGTGGTCAGACGAAGAGTTTCACGGCCCAATTCTCTACACGTAAAATAAGGTATCAATTCAATCAGAATTTGGTAGATGATCTTACATTCAGATGACATTACCTTCCACAAGACACATTTTTAAAACACGTGTTATTAAAATTGTTTTACGTGACAGCAACTGCCGTGCCCTACATGTGCCACCGGTCGCCGAGGGGAGAGAGGGAGTGAGAGGGAATGAGAGTGAGTGAGAGTGAGTGAGGGGGGGCGCGACAGGCACCGCGGAAACGGCGCCGCTGCACTTCGCCCTATTGTTTCCGGGATGATACGGGCCCATCTTCGCCGCCGCTTTACGGTCCCGTTTTATGCGCCGTAACTCTTGGCACCTTGTTTTTTGGAACGTCTCCCCGCCCTGCACGCGTGCCACGTTCCACCCTCCTCCACCAACCCCTCCTCCCACCACCTCACCGCACCCGACACCAGACTCGGCACGTCACCTGTGAACGCCTGGTGCATAGGCCACCCGAAGTGCACGGCAAGGTGTAACCTGCTCTATTCCAATGCAGCTGGCTAATGCTAGCTGTGTGTGCTACATTGTTTTGATAGATACACCAGGAAACGAGAAAACTAATAATTCAACAATGCCAGTTTTGAAACAATGTGCTCATTTATGTTGGACCACGTGACATCACAGTCGCCCTGAAGGCCGGGCATATTTTCTCCCTAAAATTGATCACAGATTCACCTCAAAATGGTACTGTGGTAACTAGTGGATTGAGTGGTGTAGTGACAAGTACACACTATGATATAGTGACATCAAAGTGCACGGCCTAGCAAGGCATTAATTAGAAAAAATGCTTAATCCATTATTTTCAGTGAATAAATGGTAAAAATATATGTACGCTAATAAAATATGTAATAATATTTCCATTTAAAATGAACACGAAAAGTTTTGATTGTTTAATTTCTGACAAAATGAACAGTTAATAATTACTTGCAGAATTAATACGAGAGTAATATTAAAATATCAATTTTTTGTGTCAAGTGCTGCGATGGATGATTGTGAATGGTGGATAATTAAAAATATAGAAGAGAGGTACATAGAAAGTTTTAAAATGTGAATCTAGTGACAAATGTTGAAAGTATAATGAACAGAAAATAAAATTAATGAAGTAGTACTCAAAATAACACGAGAAAAAAGGGAACTAATTAGATGACACTAACTAATTTGAAGGCAAATAAGATTGACCACATTTTGCCCTAAATTTATTAAAAGATAAAATAGATAGGAAAAGATTACATGAAAGAAGAAAGATAGAAATAATTGATGATGTGAGAAATAGGAGAAGCTATAAAAAATGAAAAAGCATAGGATATGTTTTGGAAGACATTCGATCGAACTAGTGAAAGTCAACTCTATAAAAAAGAGCAGGAAGAAGATAATCTAAAAACTTCTTGAGGTTACAGCAACGTCCACCCCCAGGCGATTCGAATGGATGACAGGGCGATAATCCATTGTCGCTCCCTAGCTACAGCAGCGTAGGTTGAAGAGAGTGGCACCGGGTAAAGCGGTGGAGAAGGGAGGGAGAGAGCAGAATCCACAAGAAGCACCCCAAAATACTCAGACGTATTCCGCCTGACTGGGCAATTCCGTTACGCCCCCTTTCCTTCCTTCTGGAGACTTCACTCTGGAGACGAAGTATGCTATTTTAATTTTTCTCTGAGGCTTCTTTTAAACTTGAGGATATTTTAAATGTTGTGAATCTACTACATTGGAGAGCCGGCTTTACGTCCCATTCGAAGAAAGTCATAAAAATTTTGTTTTCGGCCTTCACAATTCATTACTTCGATTCGCTTTGAAACCGCAACTGAAGTATAACAGTCTCATATGCTAACCTCCAAATACCCATGGCTGTAGGAAGGGGGTAGAGAGGGAGCATTGGGTGCAGCGGGTGGAGGGGGAAAACATCCGAGAGCCGCGCATCCAGTGAAAGCTGTGCATGATGACGTCTGCAGATAATTAACGCTGCGCCACGCAATCGGAAGCGGGCGAAAGTGGGTCGATCAGGAATGCCCGGGGGGGAGAGGCAAGATAGAGCTAGACTGGTCGAGGGCATCTCGACAACGAGACTTGGTCAAAGCCGGAGCGTCAAGTCGGGAACGCGGGAGGGTCCGGAGGGAGGATCGCGTTGAGAGGTGGCACACAGGTCCACGGTGAAGCAAGAGGATGCTTTGCAGCTATGTCAGGATGTGCAATGGCAATAGGAGAGCGGGAGATACCTGCTTGGGGAAAATCCCCGCAAGTCGAAGAATGTCGATGCAGGATCTAGCCAATCAGCAGAGAAAGATTACCGCCACGTCCCGTGATAAAATTTGCACCACACTTAAGGGACTAATGACCTTATCAGCTGACACGCAGTAAATCACGAATCAATCAAACTAGGCCAACAGCAAAAATGTGGGGGATGATGACGGTGAGAGTCAATGGTGGGGAGCGGAGCTAGATTTCTGTAGTGGACTAACTTCAAACCTTCATCGGATTCTTTGATGAAACAACACACTCAGGGGAAGGGGAAGGATTTTTAGCGCAGTGGTGGCAGTTCTTTTCTACTGACAGTTACAGACGGAAACACTTTCGTCTCCATTATCTGAGTCATGCATATCATATTCGATATAGCATGACAAATGCACAAATACATATTATTTCATAGGCCTCTCACATATTTCTTTGAGTCGTCGTTACTTAACGTAGGTACTGATGCTATAACGTAATAAAATATCTCCTAGCGTAAGATAATCAAAAAACGTTTCCCAAGGTAATCAAAACAGTGAAAGATATTAAAACAGAATTTAGTACTCATATTTTAATTATTCTCCTTAAATTATATTACATTTCACGCAGAAGATTGGAGATATACAACTTTACATAGTTTTGTAAATCTATTTGTCATGAAACATTGAAATTTAGACGCCATCGTTGAACAATGGTTTCTCAACGAACCCTGAAGTTTCTTCTTGGAGAGTAATCAACCAGCTGTTTATAGCTAAGATCTCTACGGTCACTTAAAGTTACAGTTGGAGACCACTCTATAACTGTTTATTCTTATTGATTCCACAAAACCATTCATTATCCGAAAGCAATTCCACTTTTATTTTATAATTATACAGACCATTTAGGGTGGTGATACTAGGTGTTGTAGTGGTCGTAAGTACCTTTTCGGCCATAAACATGGTGTGAAATCCATATAATGAAGTTGCACATGTGATTCTTGCCTCTGATTGGTAGACAACTCATTATGCACTGTTCTTAGGCACGCTCAAGATCTAAAAGATACTGCCTGTCGAACACTAGTTCATAATGAGGTTGTTACACTCGTGGTTAAATGTCACAGGAGTAACTTGATTATATGAAATTTTTTAAGTTTACTGACAAAAAATAATCATTTTCGACCATCTACATGCCCTGAAAAATTGTAACATTTACTCGACGACATTTCCAAATTCCGCCCAATTCCTCACGCAAGTTGAGAAGGCGTGAGACGACGTCGAGCGATCACCCAACGGCCCAGCCGCTCCGCAAGGAAGACAAGAGTTGCAACCCCCAGCCCCAGCAGCAGCAACGCGAAGGGCCCCTGCAGCTGGCGCAGAGCCAGGGGCCGCCGCCGCCGCGCCGCCGCTGGGCGACCCTGGCCCTCGGCGGAGGGAACGGTAATGCCGTCCGTGTCCATCCGCTGGCGCTGCTCGCGCCACCACTGGTCGTACACGCCCGATTGCGCCACGCGCAGCACGAACGCGTTGACTGGGCCGTGCAGCGGCGAGCCCCTGCGCACCAGGTAGGCGTTGTGGCCGCCCGCGGGCAAGCAGTCCGGGATGCGGTGCACAAGCCGCTCGCCGTCCGCGGTGAACTCGCGCAATCTGTTCCAAAGAACGCCGACCAAAAATGCATCCGGCTCGGAGAACCAACGTTTGGTTCGAGCATATTAAAGGTTTGCGAATGCACAGCGTACCGAATTTCGCCACTACCCTACTCCTCACTTATGGATGTGAGTCTGTTCGTATGTCTCTTAGAGGGTACAAGATGGGTCGAAAAGATGGTGCAGGAGACCGAGCCGTTAGAGAGGTTGTCGAACGAGGCCGAGGAACATTAGGTGATGGGATAGGATGTGCTGGGGGAACAAAGGAGAAGGGCAGGTGAAAAGAAGGGCACGAGGGGAAGAAGAGCGGAGTAGAAGGATGAGGAAGAAGATAGAAGTAGGGAGAATAAAGAAGAGGAAGGACAGAAGGAGGAGGAGGTGGAAATCTAGGTGGGAGAGAAAAGGATGAGTAGGGAAAGAGAGCGAAAGAGTAAAGGAAGCAGAAGGAATGGAGGAACTGAGCGAAGAAATTGAGATGTAAAAGGGAGAAGTTGATGACAGAAGAGGAGAAGGAAGGGAGTAGCAATAAAAGGTGAGATGCAGTAGAAAACATGGGATTATTTTAATTTATAGTTAAAATCCAGTACTATGTCAAACTTGTTTGCGGATTACGGGTACCCGAGTTATAAGTAACAGCAGAAAAAAAGAATGGCGTTTGAGTATCCTTGGACCGACCTGGACAAGTGCTGATAGAAGAGGTCAGATGTGATGATGCCGTCCTGCCCCGTGCGCAGGATGCCGGCCACGTAGTCGGCCATGTCGTTGAACTTGATGAGCTTCCACTTGCGGCCCAAGAGGCGCAGCGCGGGGGGAGACTCGGGGTCCAGGAACATCCCGTAGAACTTGAGGTAGGCGTACACCGCGCGCAGCTGCGGTAGTCCGTCGGCCAGCGTCTGCGGGGAGCCAGTTTTTTTTTTATTCTTCGATATTTTTAACGTGGTGTCTCGAGGTCACATGAAAAAAGGAGAATAAAGGCAGGCTTTAATAGGGAGCTGTAATGTCACTACAGTTCCCACTTCTACGGTTCCCTATTGGAGTTTTCTTTCCTTCTCACTTTTTCGCACGTGACCTTGAGACGTCACGTCTAATAAATCGGAGTATACAACAGAGCAAAGTCATTTGCATAATTATTTACGATACAAGTAGTAAAAATGTCATTTTATTTTGGTAATGCTGCAACGCGGGGTCGCGAGAAGAAGCAAAACAAAATGACGTTTATCACGAGTGCTATATACTACTTTTAGCCAGCCTTATTGACTTTCATTTTATTTTATTTCAAGAATGCAAATCACTTAATGATAGATTAAGATCGATAGTACTTGATACGGTCAGATGAAATTATTTTCTTTTCTTTGTTGCATTCACGGAAACATGTCATGGAATACATATCTGAACACTTTCGCATCATGTTACTTTTACTACTATGACTAAAAATGGACATATTAGCACGCTACCCATGCTCTGAAAGAACCGCTTTTAATCGTGGATGTCTAAACATATTAAATTAGAGTGCAAAGCGCAATATAGAAAATTGAACAGAACTTTTTAGAGCAACATTCTAAAACATTCAATAAAACCAATGGTATAAGATAAAGAAAAATCAAAAAATTAATATAAACCTAAACCTGTTTATTTAATTATTACAACATCGTTTTAACACCCTTTGTGCACACGTACATATGAAGTAATATACGTATCTTGCATGGAGAAAGTTATGTAATGCTGTGGAAAATCTATTTCCAAATTTCAACGGAAATACGAGTTATGGTATCCGGGGATATACAAAAGGGTTTGTTTTCGAAGATAATGTCCTTCTGTCCGATCGTTGTCCGTCCATCTGTGAACAATACTAGAACGAGCTATGCGTAGGAGTTCAGCCAAAATGAATACCTTTCTATCTTGTACCCACGAGCAAGAAAAAAACTCCGATTTTGCAGGCTGCACGAATGCAGTTGTGGAAAGAAAAAATATAGAGAGCTTTTGTTCCAGTACTTAAAAATTAGGTCAAAAACGACGGAAATTTTGTTTCTAATTAATTTGGAGTTAAATTGTATCAAAAAAGTATTTTGGAATATTTACATTTCAAATACACGGAGGGTAAATACGTAAGAAATTAAATATAATTTCTTCCTACGGCAGTACGAAAACGTTGTGGTAAGCTTGCGCACAGGAGAGCGCGGGGGCGGGGGGGATCGATGCCAACTGAAATTTTTTTGAGGAGACCCGAAGACTTCATACTTTTTATATCCGTAAATATATTCAATCCCAGATTCTCCCCTCTAAAATCGGATAATTGGAATGTTGTTATATGATTTTTGAGGAAGAGTATCCACAAGCTATCTGTCAACCCGTACACGTGGTCGAACTCAAATCAATTCATTTTGTGTTATCAATGTCATAAATTAATTTTCCTTGTAGCATGTTTTATTTATACGTTTTTTGGAGAATATGTCATTCCTGTAGGTGAATAAAAAAATTATGGAAAACGCAGGTCCAGAATTGAGTTTCCCGCTCCTCCTTGTTTTAGGCTGTATGTGCTTACCTCATTTGCAATATTTATTTTAGATTATAATATTTGTTCAACACCCAATTTCGTTTTTTTTCTTTTACCACTTCAACCATATAAGGGTCCCAATTTTTGTCGTCTCTTCTTTTGGTCAATAAGAGTTGCCAAGACTACATGTTTACATTAGCTTCGAGTTTAATCAAGTTTACAATGATATTACACCATGCGATTTATTTTTCTTAGTATCAACGAATATTAAATATATATTAAAATCAAATTCTGACATTACCTCTAAAAGTCGTGTGTCTTTTCTATTCTTTATTTCATACTTGCTTTTTAACTTGTTTCAATTTGGTGCATCCAACTGGTCAAGTCTCATGAATTTGTTTTATCGATGTTTAGAAAATGTTTGATATTGATCAATCTTGTTTAGTGAATATTTGTATATTAAATTCGTGGATTTATTTTTGTTTCAGTATGCCGGAGTATAAAACAAAATAAGTTACGAAACTTCGTGGTGGTGTTCTCAAAATAAATTATTCTTCGTAACTATAAAGGAAATCTATCTTTATTTAGAGCGACCAGGCGCTTGAGCACTCGCCTGCGGGTCGGGGAGGCGCGGGGGCGCCGCCAAGAAGCCCAGCAGCACGCCCTGGTAGGCGTTGGCGTAGTACCCAGGCGGCGAAAAACAGCAGCGCAGACGGCGAGCGCCACGCGCGTGAGTTATTTTTTTCTTACATAGTTTGGTGGTTTCTTTCTGGGCAGGCTGCGCGCCGCCCGCCGCAGCGCCCGCCCAAGCCACCTGCGCCACGTCCACAGCGCCTGCGCGGCGACAGCCCGCTCCGCACGCTGCAAGGCAGCGCGGGCAAGCCCCGTTCTGGTACAGCGCCTTAACGCACCCAAACAGGCGACGAAGGGCCACCCTTCACGCGTTCTACAGTCCGACGATCGTTAAGAACAATTGAAACAAATGAATTGTAGCTAAAGATTGAGTGACTAGTGTTTCCGGGCGCGTCAACTACTCACAATCTTGGTTTTTTGTATTTTGTATTAACCCATAAAATATGAATTCTGACTACACGGGTCAGAGGAAGGAATTTACTATACAGATACGAAGATTATTTTCTACTTTTTCGTTATCACGACTCAGAAATACGTGTTTTACTGTGGAAAATGCACCGTTTCCAGCGCACCAATACAACAGTTTTTCGTCTTACGAAATACGAGGAAATAAAAATGAACTGTCTGGCGTTTCTACACTACACCTACGCAGGAACTTACCACGTACCCTTTCGAACAAATTATTCTCTCTCTGTCCAATGATATCAAAGTGAATTGTTGATTGAGAAGAAGAAGAGTATAGTTTGGAGGTGAGGGTTCTAGGGAAGCAGCGTATACCTTGCGTAGGCTACAAACCCACCCTTTGCTTCTAATATGAGGGGGATTGCTACCCCTGTGGGCACCCAAGCTCTTGACTTTTAGCCTCATCCCCCGCGGGCTTCCAAGTACCCCTTCGGGCTGGCAGAACCCCATGAGGGCGCCTCCTCAATTAAGACTGCGTAGGGCCACTCTGCCTGCTCAGAGCTACTAACTGACCACGCAAGCACCGGAGTCTAATTGAGCGCCACTCACAATCCGCAGGGGCGAATCCCTTCTCAATTGCCCAAGAGCATCGGGCACGCCCTCTACGAAGCCAAGTGCCCAACTGGGGGCCGTCCACACCGAAGGCCAGGAGGCTCGATGCCCCCAACCTGTCTCCTCGCACCACCCTCCTTGACGCTGTTCACGTATCACCGAAAACTAGGCCACCTGACGGGCGGATTCATGCTTTCTATATGACTTTTATGTGTACATAGTATCAGTGTTACAAAATAACTAAAGTTTACATTAGTCCATTTAACAATAACTTTATAATTCTGTAATTTCATTTGTTATTACTCTTATTAGAATTTGAAGGTATCATTTAGGAACAATACTTTTAAAGGAACTACATTTTGGTTAAAATAGTATTATTATTATTATTATTATTATTATTATTATATTTCGTTGATAATTTACTCATCCAGCAACTACCGGAAGTATTAAAGGTAAGAAATAATTGTGACAAAAATTATTAACATTCAGTATGAGAACATTTCAGGTGGAAAAATATCATTTTATCCATTAGATGAAAAAATACTTCTCGTCTCCCTTTTCCCTTTATTTTTACACAGGCCTTACTTACCAACCGATGGTGACAGACGTATAAGCAAGAGCTCTTTCAATTTATTATATTTTGAAGTTCGTTTGCAGGCACCTTACATATTTCTGCTAGCCTACATTGTAAATGGATTATGTTCCATGATGTAAGTCATAACACGTCTATTGTGACATCATAAATTTATTAATAGGACATATTGTACATGTTCCATCAGGAGGCATCAAGAGCAGGCCGTATACGATTGACGTTGAGTGAAAACTACTAAACATCTTCACTGATACTCGTTCCACATGAATTAGATCTTTTACTGCGGCGATCGCGTGCCGGTACCAACTCTTAATTCGTAGCGGCGCCGCTCCGGCCCGTCAGCACCTGGCGACAGCCATCGCCCGATTTAGCGCCTTCCTGTTCTGCATCAACTGGGGCACGCACCACCGTTTTTCACCATCCGCGTCGACACCAGGCGAATAAAGGAGCAGTACCCTAACAAACGAGCCACGGATCGCGCGCTAGCTTTCCTTCTCTTCTTCCTCGTCCTATCCTCACGCCCTTACACACGCATGCACTACACTACCACACATGCCGGGACACCGGTCGGGAGCTTAGAGATTGTCCCGGCTGAAGCGATGCCTCACTGGTCAGAAATACCTGGTTGGGGAAACCTCGCTAGCCGACGATAGGTCCCCGCGTTGCAATGCATGTACTAGACTCACGGGACGAACGACCTTGGCAGTTGACGCGCCCGGAACGACTACTCAGTCCGTGGGGAGTCGCGGCGGCGCCGGCCGCTCACCTGGTGCGTGGCGTGCCACGCGAGCGCCGCCAGCAGCAGCGCGCCCGCGATGGCCGCCCACGCGCGCGGCCGGAAGGGCAGCTGCAGCACCCGCGCGAAGCCCACGCGCGGCGCCCGGCGCACCATGACGCACAGCGACGTGTGGCGGATCGGGGCGGTGTAGTGCGCGAAGCCCAGGCGCTCGTGCAGCATGGCGAACACGTTGTTGGACACGTCCACGGCGCCGCTCTGCACGAGGCCCAGCTCGCCGTTGTAGGAGCCGTTCACGAGCGCGCCCAGCGCCTTCTCGGCGGGGGCTACGCGGACCGCGCGCAGCCCGGAGTACCGCTGGAACTCCCGAAAGAGGCGGTAGTCCGGGCCGTCTTTTACTCTCTCCCCTTGCTTATTGATCCAG